AAGAGAATTAAGTAAGTTGAAGGAAGGCAATCTAAGAAGACAAACCATAAAAGATACGTGGGGTTGAGAAATCATCCTAATAGGGGAGGCACATTTGGATTGGAGAGAGTTTCACAATCCTGGACACTGAATCTTGTTAGATTCAGAATCTGGTTGGTTTTTTTCCCTTGGGGAAGGGATGAGCGTATTTTAAGGAGAAAAGAAGTGTACAAACATATACTCGGTGGCTGGTGCCAAAATCCACTTCCGGTTCTTCCAGGATATGTAGCCAAACTACCTTCCCAGCCTCCTCGTGGTAGGTGTGGTTGTGAGACTAAACAGACCCTGGGCAAAGATGTGAATGGAGGGGTATGATCACTTCCAGGCCTGGCCCATAAATGCTGCCCATGTGTGTGCCATTGTAGAGGAAAGTCCATAGGATTTCTCCATGTGCCCTTTCCTCTGCTGGCTCACTGGGATGATTTATCAGGATGAACTTGAAAGCCCAGAATGGCAACTACTGCCTGGTACTGGAACTTAGAGGGAATTGCTCAGTCCACACACCCACAACTGGGTCTGAAACATCAGTCATGTTAAATAAACAAGTTTGCCCCAGAATTGTATCCCAGCTCCCTATGGTCATGCCTTCAACTCCCCACGGTGATAGGGATTCAGTCCCTCAGGGCCTGTGACATCAGCTGTCCCAGAATTTCCAAGTTGTGGTTCTCTGGATATTGATGCATCCCAGCTCTTGGGGTGGGGGAAGATAAAAGGGTTAATTTGGAAAGCTTAGTTAACAGCATGGATAATTGAGTCGAAGTCTTTGCATACTCTAACAAGGGTGAAAAATGGGAATATATTTCTGATCCAACAACTTAAAAATCCTGTGCAAGTTGGGGATGAATCTTGGTGGGATAACTGCACCATTTCCATGCTTCCAGAGGTCTGGGGAAAGTTCTGGAACCCACAAGGCAATTCAGGCTTTTTTAGGATGGAACTCCTCCTATTTGGCTTTATCCATGTGACCTACCCCAGATGAGTATCTCATAAAAGCATACCTAACCCAGGCCTACTATATCTGTAGCCTGAAATGGACCTTGTCTCCTATGTTTAGAGAAAGGATGTTGTCTCCTGAAATTTTCACTGTAACACTGCCTCTGCTCTTTTCAGACCTATGTTGCCTGAAAATTGAAGTTATATGAGTTTTCTTATGTGTACCAGAAATTATGCCAGCCAGTTGTGGGTCCCATTCCTTGGTGAGGGTCTACAGTAGACATATTGGTATCTTACCTACTACGAGCCCTCCCATGTGGGAATTATCCCTTTCCTATTTCATGTAGTTCTGCCGGGACTGTCAATCAAGAGACTCCCATCCGCAGTAGTGGCTATATGACCAAGGATGACCAGTCATAACTCCACTTAAGGGAATTTCTAGAGACACTAGGAGAAGAAATAGTATCTCTTTTTTTGAGATTGCAAACTTGGATCTTCTGGGACCCTCTTTTTCACCTAATGTCAAGCCAGGACACCAATGCTGGGCAAAACAGGGCTATGAAGTTGAGAGGGAGAAACAGCTTCCTAATGACAGCTATTGAGCAACTAGATCCAGCCCAACCTGAAACCAACAATTCCATACCCTTGGACTTAGTTGCATTAGCCAATATATCTAAAATTTAATACAATTGTAAATGTTATGAATTGCATTTCTATCACTTGGGGTTAATTGGGGAGTGATCCATGATCTTACCTAACTATAAGATGTCAAGGGAGTCAATATATTTTCTCATTGACATTTTTCCTGAGGGTCTCACTGGGTGCACTTACCACACCTCCACCGTAGTCATCTCAAGTTCCTTCTTCTATTATTATTATTATTATTTTGTAATTTTCCCTTTGAATCTACTGCCTTGCCTCAGGGTGGCAAGCTAAGTGGAGAATATGGACAATACTTCTCAGAACACTCATTCCCATGGACTTTTCTCTGAAAGACAGATTGTTGTGTCAGTTTATCATGTTAGAGAATCCTAGTGAGATTAATATTTTGACTAGGACCTCTGCATTCAAAACAACTGTTTAGGACCTCCTTGGGAAAGATGCTCATCTTAATCCTATATTTTCTTATGCACTGGGAAAGAGTTTATAGGGTCAATTAAAATGAATTTCATGGGTCCTTAAATTGCTTGTCTCATAAGTTCTCCTATTTTTATTTTTTGGATATTGGTGCCATTTTAAGGGTTCTACTATTCCAAGCCATTAACATACCATTTCTTTTCTACAGTGCCTCTAGCCTTGGCTCCGTGAACACAATGTAGGAATGCTCTTTTATATCAAGGGCTAGGGAACCCCAGCCCATGGGCTAAAATCCAGCCAGCTGCCTATTTGCATAAATAGTTTTATTGGAAACACCCACACCCATTTATTTATCATCTATGACTATTTCTGTCATTGCCACGAAGAGCATATAGTTGCAGAGCCAAAAATATTTAGTATCTGACCCTCTACATGAAACATTTATTGACTTCTGCTCTAGATAAGTGCTTCTCAACCATCTCCTCATTTTGGCACCCAGTAAATAATGGTGCTCGGAGAGATGAAGGGGTTAATATCTTGACAAGCCTTTGGAGCATACCACTTGGAAAGGTTTCCTCTATACCACTTGGGGCAGGACGTGGCCTGCTATAGAGCTGGAATACACGGTCTGATAGCCCAGTCTTCTCTTTGAGACATGTGGGGACGAATATGTGATCTAAGCCTTGGTTCCGCACATTCTATGTTTAGAAATCCATGTGGATTTCAATCTTGGCCAAGGCCAGGGTTATTTCTCCTGTTCATGGGTGATCTCTTGGGCATCCTGACTTTCTGTGGAAACTATCCATGCAGCATCATTAACATATAGTTCCAAAATGAGACTCAGAAAAGCACAAAGATGTTACCATTCCTGGGGCCAGTCTGAGCCACTGGGGTTCAAAACTCATGACCACCTCTACGTATGCAAGAGCTGCAGCGTGCCCCAGAATATGCGGTCAGAATCTGTTTCAGCTGTCACGGTCACTTGTCCTTTTCCCTCTAATGGCAGCCTAGTGACGGCAATTAGTGTCCATCTTCTGAGCGGACAGTCTGGGTGCCGTGATGCTAAATGGTGTCCAAGACTTCATTTCTGTATTCCAACCCGATGAGCCACGGCATCCTTAAACACCCATCACATTTTGAGGTCCCATCACTACAGTCCTTTTTCTCATTTTGTGATGGTTTAAGTTCACTGCAGAAGCCACGGGATTGACCATTCCCTCTTCAGTTTGCCACAGAGGAGAAACATTGGTTAAGAACCATTCAGACCAATAGAAAGAATGAAACTGCCAGTTTATTTGAAAGTATAAAAATTAAAACAAAACAAAACAAAAACAACCCAAACCACAACCTAACCAAAACACGAAAAGGAACCACATAACTTTCCAGTTTACATCAACTTTGAACATCGCACGCTATTCATCAACCACTTTGTTGCATTTTTTTTTTTTAAAGCCAATTTTGGAGGGGGGGGTGTTGAGTCAGGAGGTAAGTTACAGGTTACAGGGATGTGAATTTGAAGGCGATAATAAAAAGAGCTTGCTGGTCTCCTCTGAGAAAAAAGAGGAGAGATGGTTTTCTGGCTGCTGTAGACTTAGGCAATGTATTAAAAAAAAACCATCCTGGATAGAATGAGTTAAAAATATTGCTGGCCACTTACTTGCCATCTTGAGCAGGGCGGAAAAACCAGGAAAAACCCCTGCAGCTTTGGTGTCCTATTTATATATTTTTAAAAAGATTCATTAAAAAAATCACATCTATAATAAAAATGTCCCTGTGTTTATTTAAAAAAAATACACACACACTTTAATAGGCTTTATTATCTACGAAGACCATTTGTTTTTCCTAAGATGCCTGGAAGCAGAAGAGTGAGTGAGATTCACTGCGTAATTAATTAAAATTAGAATCCCTTCCTCTAAACAACTTCCAAAATACCAGAAAGAAGCATGGGCCCATCAAAGGGAGAAAAAAGAAAGCCATTCTGACTCAAAGGAGATGAAATGCTCAGCCAGAGTTCCTAGCACACTCCGGCTCCCATCAAAAGTTCTTTCTTTATTGGATTACACGGAAAATAACTCAAGTGTTATTTTAAAAAATGAAAAATGCAAGCAACTAGGCTCCTTTCCTTTAGCTTAAAAAAGACAAAAAGAAATCACCAAGTGGCTAGCCTTCCTAGAACACAGTTTGGATTTGGTTTAAAAAAAAAAACAGAAAAAACAAAAAACGGTCCCAAGAACAGAATCATTAAATGCCACATCGTTCTCCCACTTGGGCAGGCTTCATTGAAATTTGCATCAACGAGGTCACTGAACATTTTTTCTGCTGTGGAAGGAAGTCCTGAATGGGTGACAATTGCCTGGAGGGTTTCCACCTGTTTCCAGTTTTGTTCCCCATCAGTCAGTGTGGTTTCTTGCCACTGATTTCCACCCACTATTTCTCCAGGGAGTGGGCCCTCTTTCTCTGGCTGGGCACAGAGAACAAGGAAAGCTAGCATAAACACAGAGACTATGAACCGAGGGAGAAAGGCATCCCTCCTTCTGCATTCCTTCAAGAACTCGATAAATAACTCAAAGTGCGACAACGCACAAGTGCCTAGCACCCAGGTCACTCTGGAGTGACTTGGTGACAAGGCTCAGCGCGACAAAAGTGTGATCTCCTTTCGCATCTTTCTTTGGACCTCACTCAAGGAAAAACAAACAAACAAACAAAGACAGCTTTCCTATACACATATAAATAATCCCTTAACTAGAAGGGAAAAAACAAACACACTGTTTCAAATGCATTTCTAAGAGATTAAAAAAAAAAAAAAAAAAAAAAAAGTCCGAATGGCAAATCTTGACTCCAAATTGTCTACTGTCCACGTCTTTTAGAGGAGAAACTACGGCAGGTCAGAAGAAGCCTGAGCCCAACTCTGACCCGAACCCTAACGCTAAATCAGGGCGCTGGTTTCTGGGCCTCGGAAAGGACGTGTGTGCAGCACACGGAGCCAGGAGCTCTGGCTGGAGGTACTGAATATGGTTCTCGTGAGTGTCAGCAACCAGTGTCCTCAAGTCCAAATGCACAGGTAGAACGACTTCTGGGGCTTAAGGTAACCTGGGAAGCCGGGGTAGAAAGCTGCGTGAAGGGGCAAGATAGGCTGCGTGTGGTTTCCAGGGACAGAGGCCAGGTCAGATTTTTGGCCAATACAAGTCTGGGTCCTCCTTCCTTGGCTCTGGGCAGGTCACGGCTGGAGGGGGAACAGTCCAACAGCCAGGGAAGGACTGTGGACCAAAGCAGGCGCAGGCTCTCGAGAACCTACAATTTAGGAGCTGAGACCCCGGATGAACACACGGCAGGATCCCCCTGCCTATTCTGGGGCGAGGCCGAGGACAGACGCTGCCAGAGAAAACCCTCAATACGCGGGTTCTCGGGCCAGTTTTTAAAGCCTGGGTCTCTTCAGAGTAGATGGTTTCAGAGTCATTCAGAGAACCCATAGGGCCCTGCTGATGGCTGAAGGGTGTATCTCTTGGCCCACGTCTCCTCTTTTTGGCCGCTGCTCCGCTGGACTCAGAACGGCGTGCACGAGACAGCGAGCGGGATTTGCTGCTCCCCTGGATTCTTTCCGGGGTGGCCGTCCACGCCGGCCTCCTGGAGGATCACCCACCCCCCACCTCCACTGGAGCTGTAAGGTAGCAGCCCCCAGAGGACCTGGTCTGGTGTCTCCTGCCCTTCTGAACATCCCATGTGGCCCAGAAACGCTGCGTTCTCGAGGACTCCTCAGATACTGCCTTAGCCTGCTGCCTGCAAACTCAGGCTGCCTATCCAGCAAGAGGCCACAGTCACAGAAGAAGGACAGGACAAGTGAGGTCATGATCCCAGGCCCTGAAGACCAAGTGACCTCTCGGACAAGACGCACAATACATCAGGTCACCCAAGAGCCCAGAAAAATGTCGGGTCTCCCTTGCAAGAACATCCCTGAAATCTGGGGCGGGGGGGGGGGGGGTAGGAAGGGGAACGGAGAGACAGCTGACACCCCAAATCCCTCCTTGAGGCACCCTGAGGAGCTTCCCACGAGAGGACGTTGTCAGGATGGTAACAAGTCAGAGCAGATGAACCCATATGGACTTTGGAAGCGCCGGATTTAGACTTCTGCGGTGTCCTGGCTGGGCACGGAGTCTCTGGGCCCCGTGACACTCTCCGGAGGAGGGGAGCCAGCCTGGCCCGGGCCCTGGCCGCTGTCTTCGGTGCTCAGCAGGCTGCTGGCCGCCTGGGAGCCGGTGCTGTCGGCGCTCCCGGAGCGTGAGCGGTAGGGGGGCAGGTCGGCTTGGTTCAGAGACTCGGTGTCGGACGAGTAGGGCGGCGGAGGAAGGTCGTACCATGCGGGTCTGTGAGGGACAAAGCAGGATGAGGCGGGAGAGGCGGGGGAGAGCAGAGGGAAGACAGACAACACGTTAGGAGCCAAGGTCAGGCAGGCAACCCCCGCCACCCATCTGCAGGTGCCCCTGAGGAAGACAGCTATCCGAGGACCAGAGACCCCCGCAACAAGACCAAGGGAACGGGAAGAGGTGGGCGGCCGAACGGGCGGTGCCCAAACCACGTTCCCTGGGTCGGCCCGGGGGGAGGATGCCCAGCGCCAGCCTCCAACCGAGCAGCTGGCTGGCGGTTCGGGTTGAACCTGACGGTCCACAGCATCTGCGCTTCTTACTGACAGCCAACTTTCCTGGCTATGTGGACTCGGGTGAGCGGGGATCTTCCCAGTGACTGCGTCTCCTCTGTCGGAGGGGACAGTAAGGACACTGGCTTGCCATGCAGTAACTGCACAGAAAAGACGGTTTATTCTGCCGCTCTCCCTGCAGGGTTCCTGCAGGCTCCCTGTGAGCGGGTGCCGTGCCACCTGCTCTACGTTCACTCCCTCACTTAAGGCTGATGAGAACACTAAAAAGTAGGCATTACTTTCACGCCCATTGTACTGGGGAGTAGACCGAGGCAAGGGGGCATGGAATGACTTGCACAGGGCCACGAATAACTAGCAAGCGGCAGCTCTGGGATCGAAACCCAGGTGTCACTGCTTCATATTTGGCAATTTTAACTTGACTCTACCCTGGCTGGTCCAAATGAAGAAGCTGAGTGCTGAGTGCGGTCCTGGGCTCTCACCCTAATTTGCGAAGATGTCCGGAAGCCCTGCCCCCTAATGCTACCTTGACCTTGGATGGAGGAGGAGAAACAAAGAGTAAAGGACACAAGAGCTGCTGCTGGACAGGGTCCAAGAGGAGCCCAGTCAGCCCGGGAAATGACCAGCAAAACGCCTCTCGCCACATCCGGTGAGTCCTGGGCTCAGAGGAGGAGAGCGCCGGGGAGCTAGAACCAAGTGAACTTCCAACATGGGTTCTCTAGGATCCTCTGGAGGTCACCAAGGAAGGGAGGAGGAGGCTGAGCCAGCGGAATTCAGGTCCTCCAGCTGCTTCAACTACAGAATTCTGCCTTTTGACTTTCTCCCTTGCACTTTCTGGTACAGCCCCGTTTGAAATGAGGATCCTACTGTTTTACAAAGTTTGAGAGTGCTCTATGCTACCTCCTTTGTTTGATAAATGAAGCCAAGCAAGGAACTCATTCATTCATTCATTCACTCACAGTACGAACCAACCCTGTAATACGGCCTGGCCGCTGTTCTGCATTGGCAGGTGCGGACCCGGAGCTAGTCAGAGGCCTGACCATGTGTCAGGGTGGCATTACCAAGGAGGAACAGGGCTCTGAGGTGACCAGGATCCTAGCTCTACGTCCTTGGACAAATCACTTAAAATCCCAGAGTCCGTTTCCTCATCTGCAAAACTGAGGCCCTCCCTGCCGTGATCTGCAGAGAGGATGAAATGAGATGATGTGGGGCACCTCCGTGGCTCAGTGGGTTGAGCATCTGCCTTCGGCTCAGGTCATGATCCCGGGGTCCTGGGATCGAGCCCCGCATTGGGCTCCTTACTCGGCAGGGAGCCTGCTTCTCCCTCTCCCTCTGTTGCTCCCCCTGCTTGTGCTCTCTCTCATTCTCTCTCAAATAAGTAAATGAAATCTCAAAAAAAAAAAAAAAAAAAAAAAAGAGGACACATGTGAACTGTACTGCCAGGGCCTAGTACATGCCTGCCCCTGCTCCCACCATCAGCAGCGGGGTGTTGGCTCCTGGGAAAGCCTGGGAACCCGCTTTCCCCATCGATGACCTCCCGCCCCCCCCTTCTTCCATCCAGCACGCACCTTTGGTCCAGGAGGGCCTCTGAGTAGGAGGGCGGGGAGCCCACTTCCGACGCATTCTGCTCAGCCTGGCTGGCCACATACTGGATGCCGTTGTTGACGTTGTAGGTGACGCTGCAGTGGTGCGGGTGATCCAGGACCACCAGGCGGGAGAGAAGCAGGGGGTGCTGCAGCCGGTGCACCGGCAGCGTCATGAGGTTGTTCCGCTTCCGCTGGTGGTGCAGGACCAGGGCCAGCAGCGCCACCACCAGCACGAAGATGACGGAGCTGCCGATGATGGCGTAGGTGATGCTGGGGTAGTACACGAGCTGGTTCTCCGACGTCACGAACACCTGCCCGCTGCCTGGCTCTGGGAGACCCCAGGTTGGGGGGGGGGTGGAGAAAAGGAGAGAGCTTACGGCTATGGCTCGCCCTCCTGCTTCAGACTCAGTCCCAGGAAGTGCGACCGAGTGTTTGTGGCGACAGAGTTCACAACCGCCAGGAAGCAGGAAGCCACCCCCGTGTTCAGTGACTGGTGACCGGCTAACAGTATGTGGAACAGCCACACGACAGAGTAGCGTTTGGCCATAAACAGTACAGATACGCGTTACAACACAGATAAAGCTCAAAAACCTTGTGCTGAGCGAGATAAGCCAGACTCAAAAGGCCACACGCTGTCTGATTCCATGACATGCAACCTTTAGGAAGGGCAAAGTTACAGAGACGGGAAATGGACCTGTGGTTGCCTGGGGCTGGAAACGCACCGAAAATTCACCAGAAATGCGTACTATAATGTAAGGGAAGAGGGCTGGTCGGCATGTCCGGGGTTCTTCATGCCTGCAGAGTGCTTCCTTTATGTCCGGCCCTATGCCAAGCTCTCAAGATAGAGAAGCCAGCAGAGGACAGGCAAACATTGGGGACTCTGGAGCCAGACCGGGTTCAAATCCCAGCCTCTGCGCCCTCTGGGACGTGCTAGGTGCCCCTTGTAACATGGCCGGCTCTGTGTCCTGTCATTTCCTCATTCTCGCTGGGCTGTCATGACCATGCAATGAAGGAATCATGACCCACCACTTCCAACAGCAGCTGACCCTGCGTGCACTGTGCCGGTACGTGGCCCAGACGGGCGGACGCGCGCTTTATTCCCTCTACTCGCCTCGCAGCAATCCCATGCACCAGGTGCCGTCACTGCCTTCTTTTTAAGAGGAGCCAAGTACATCTCAGAGGGGCCAGGCCCCCTGACGACGGTCACAGGGTTAGGAGGTAAACAGGGGTCTGACATCAGAGCCTTGCCCCTTACACTGTGCCCTGCACCCCCTGACCAGACCCGTTAGGCAATCTGCAAGCATTTCCTCAGAGGCTCTCAGGCGAAAGTCTGGGGCACATCTGACAGCCCCCAACCCCCCCCCCCCCCCCCACCAGTTGCCAACACCCTCCTCTCCAAGTGTAGTAATAAGCCATTCAGATATCCAGGTGAGGGAGGGGCTTTCCAGTCAGCGGGACATGCTTGGCCACCAAGACCCAGTCCAGACTGGCCCAGGAAACCAGCATGGCCCCTCCTCCCTCGGAGAGAGCTAGGGACCCCTCCTCTGCAGAAGAACCACAACCACCCACCGCAGCAGCCCAGTGGGAAGAATGATCGAAATACAGCCCCTAAGGGAGCAAACCGGGTGGCTGCCTCCTGGGCCGGTTCCCTCTCCACAGCACTGAGGTTCTCGTGCATGTGCAGGAGCCAGAACTGCAGCAGCAGGAGGAGCAACTGCCCCGTGCTCTGGCCCCGTGTCCTGGAGCTGCGCTAAGCTTTACTAACGCCTCGTTACTTGACGTGCGTCTGTTCTGTTCATCATGGTAACCCTGGTCAGTGTGCAGGATGGTGCCTGGCACAGAGCAGGCCCTCGAGTCACGCCTTCAGCTCAGTGGGGAAAATGCAGGGAGGTGCTGCTGCTATTATTATTATTATTATTATTATTATCATTATTTCTATGTTCCAGGTAGCAAACAGACTCAGGTGAATTAACCTAAGTTCACGTAAGATGCGAACAGAGAACTCAGGCCTGGAACCCAGATAGGTTCCATCAGAAAACAGAACCAAACCAAACCCCCACATGAGAAACATGTTATCTCCTCTCCTTCCTGGATAAAACACCTCTCGGTTCCCCGAACAGTCCTCATCTGCGACAAATGAAGATCTCCCCCGCTCAAGCTCCAGGCTTTGTGTTCATTCTCTTTCCAGCCACACTGAGACAGGAGGGGAAAGCTTCGATGCTCCTGTGGGCCACTGTTCCAAGGATTAACTGTACAGTAAGATCCTCAGCAAAATGCAGAGCGTGCGGCAGACAGTGGAGGGAGGGAAGCAGTTTGGGGTTCTTCCCCCGAGACCATGAGCTGCAGCACTTGGGGGGCTGCTGGTGGTGTCTGTCTGATCTCAGTGTAGCTAACTAAACAGTGGGTGGGAGCTCACGGGTGTGTGTTACGTTTCAGAGCTCAGGCTTAAAAGAAAAATACCCTCTTAATGTTGTGATCTCCAGCACAGAGCTGAGGGGTCGAATCCCGGGGCCGTCACTTCTGGCTGTTGTCGCTCAAGCCAGTTACTGTGCTCTTAGGAGCGTCAGGCACCTCCATGTTTAAAATGGCGGCAGTGGCAATGGGTAAACCATAGCCAAGTCCTTGGATCCTTGGGAGACTGAAATACAATATATGTGTAAAGTACCCAGCAAGGATTTGCCCTCAGTGAATGTTAGTTCTTTCTGCTTTTTGTGGGATAATATATACATAACTTATAAAATTTGCCATTCTCACCATTTTTAAGGGTTTGGTTCACTAAGGGTTTGGTGGCACGAAGTATGTTCACGTTGCTGGGTGACCCTCAACCACCATCCATCTCCAGAACTTTCACCTTCCCAAACTGGCTCACGCTAATTCTGAGTGTTCACATTCTTTCAATTACCCCCACCAGCTTCCCAGAGGCAGAGGCAGGGACAGTCCCCTGCGCAGGGGGCAGAACGGAGGAGAGGGGAAGGACTGAGGGGGTTCCTTTTCAGAGGGCCGTGTCTCGTAAAAAACAAAAGCCGGTGGGAAACAAACAGGTCGAGATTTTAAAACACTGGCTTCCACGTAACCACTTGAAGTTTTAAGAATACAAGAGGGAGAGCTTTAAAATGAACAGAATATGAAATGACGGCAAATCTTAACAGTCTCATTTATGTCTCCGAAAGCAGGCTCTCTCCAGATTGGCCCACTTTGGCAGGCGAGAAGCGGCAATCACATTTACTCGAGAAATTATGACGTTATATAACTCAGTGGTGCCTGGTCTCGCTTCTGCTCTGTGTGTAAAATGTCATCTTGTATTAATTCATTAACTAGATTCACTTTTCTTAAGAGCTTAATGAGCCCGCTGGCCAAATTACTAATATCAGAGTTGCCTGGGACCCGAGTTCTAAGTGCATAATCCATGGATAATGAAGTTTCCATTTATTCTGGCTGTCCCTCAAGCGCATGCCCCCGTGCTCCACGGTCAGGCAGCTTGACTTCTGTTCCTGTAGCTGCCACTAGGACTTGCAGCAATCGTGGGCAATCTGTTAACCCCCCGAGACCACCGTGCTCTTGAAGCTGCCAGGAGCTCCTGCGGCTGCCCCTGGGAGGGCCGGCTGTATTGTCCCCAGCTCCGGGGCTGTTCGCCTCCGAGTCATCACAGATTTCTATGTTGTCACAACAGCTTTCTGGCCGGTGGCAGTCAGGTGTCCTGAGGAGGTGTGCCCTTTCCTAATTCACACAGAGCTGCGTGGCCCCACACGGAGGCAAGGTGGGGACGGGATGTTTGAGATGTGGTGTTCCTCTGCTTTCTAAAACATTTCTTCCTCCAGATGCAAATCGAACTTCCCAGAAGGTACCATTTCTCACCTATCACACTGGTAAAGGCAGAGCTGGATATCCCATTTTGCTGGCCAGGTCTTGGGGAAACAGGTGTTAATTACTCACATGCGGCTGGTGGGAGGGGAAACGGGTAGCCTCCAAGGTGGTGACAGGATTCACCATACACAATGACATAAAAATGTACACGTCCTTTGGTCCAGCCGTTCTGCTCTCAGGAGTCTATTACTAGATGGACTCATATGCCAGAAATAACTTTAATATGCGCGTCAAATGAAGCACCCTTTGTAACAGCACCCAAATCAGAAATGACCTGAACGTCTCCCAAACGGCAGCCGGGCTAAATTAATCTTGGTGCCTCCATACAACTCCACACCTATTTAAAAAATCAGGGTAGCGCTACGTATACTGATGTCGAACAATCTGAACAGTATCTTGATCCACAAAAAGAAGCGAAGTTCAGCGGAGAACGCGTGGTATATTTCTAGGCAGACACATGGAACTGGTAATGCTGGCAGGTCCCAGGGTAGAGGAGAGAGGTGAAGGGAGATTTGTTTACCCCTTTCTACTCTTTGTACTACCTTGTTCCTTCTAAAACCATGCCGACTGTCCATGACCTTTGGTACTTCCTAGGCTGATGGCACGTCTGTTTGCTTTCCTTCCTTCTCTCCCTGTAACGTGAGAACCCCTTGGGGTTCATGCCTCACGGTCACTCACTCAAGAACCCCCATGAACTCACCACTCCCCGAATATGGCATCAACGCCTCCCGCCTGACCTCTTGAGTCCTGTTCTAGAATGTTCACTACCCTGTTCATACTAGCTCATCATTCTTCTGAAAGATCAACTCTATATGCCTTAAAAAAAAATTTTTTTTTAAGTCTATTTTTCTCCAGATTACATATCTTAAAAAGTCAGGTTGAAGGAGGTATCTATATTTGCATACGATCCGCTGTCCCCTTTTCAAATGTGCTGGGAGAGGCATTTCACAGGACGTTAAGAGTTGCTTAACCATGACCACAAAAGAGACCGGGGACCTTTGCGTGCCTCCCCAGAAGCTCTCTCCTGCTCCTTTGAAGTCCGGGCATAGCCTCTGGAAAACATGTATCTGTTTTCTGCCCAAATGGACTCAATTTTCCCAGCAAGGCTTGTCACCGGAGTCATAAAGTTTGCAGCCTGTTGCGTCTGTCTTCCTCCACTTGGCATCTCGTGCTCCTAGAGTCCATGTTTCTGAGCATCGGTCTTTTCCTCCTTCAGGACGCGCCGTCCCATTCCCTCGGATGCAGGGATCGCAATCTGTGTTGAGGGAGGGAGCTGGGCTGTCTGCAGTTTCTGGAATGCACGTCATTGCACAGACATATAGTTTCTGATTTCTTGGGTTCACCCCTTAGGGGGAAGGCTGCTGGGCCCTACGGGAAGCATATGTTTAACTTTACAAGAAAGTCTCACCCTGTTTCTTCACACCGGCCGCAGCATTCCGCCACCCCCCAGACACTCTGCACCCT